AGCGAAATAATAACACAGCGCCTGAAGAATGCAGTTAAAAGAGCTTTCAATGCACCAGAGGTATGTTGTCTCTTCACGACTACTCCTATTTTACGTTCGAGCAATAAGGAGAGATCACCTAATTTTACCTCCTTAATGTGTATCCACCTAATTGACTTCATCTACAGAGCCAACTACATTGGGCAGGTTCATCATCGTATCTCCGAACATCATCCAGAATGGTTAAGCAAGGGACAAAGAAGATCTAGACGTAGCTAGCTCTGTTTTAGCACACCTTGTAGATAGTGAGCATAAAGTTGGTGTTAATGCAGCATTTAAAGTTAGTTATAGATTTCCTACTAATCTTAATTTTGCTTTATGAGTTTGTCTTCTACGCATACTGAGCTGAAGCCATCGGAATCCATCTGAAGAAGCCAAACCTGTGTATGTATATTCAGAAGAAATTCGTACAGCCACTTTCCTTACCTTGGTCATGATTACATGAATGTATAAACTGGACTACTTCGCTGTTCCCCATTCCTGTTAAATCTTTGAAATTAAAATTGTCCAAAATTATTTTATTACTTTTGCTGACTAATTCATCTTTAATTACATGCTATCATTGTTGTAATCAATTTCTACCCTTTAATTGTTTAAATATATCTCCAACAAGTATTTTAGCTATTGACTAATATTCATTACAACAATAAAACGACTCCACATTTTATCTAACTTCAAGACGGAGGTGATGAAGATAACCAACTAATCAACCAACAACAACAACAACAACCAGCACCAATCACCATCAAAGGGAGCGATTTGACAAAGGTTACTTTTATATGTCCAAACCAAGTTCACTTTTAACAGTTTGAAAAAATTTGGGCATTGGGTATATGATAATCATTATAATAAAGGTTTTTGTATTTCCCAATGAATGAAAAACAAAACGATGTTGTTTTTACTGACGTTTCGCTATTTAATGCTAATAGCTTTATCAAAGTATTATTAAACCGGAATTTACAAAATCTCAGCATGCTATAGAATCAGGTCACAAAATTGATTTTGACAATATTGAAATAATCCAGAAAAACTTCAGAAATCATAAAGAACGCCTAATATCAGCAACACTTCATATCAAGTGGAATCCAAATTGCCTGAATAGGAATGATGGACAAAAACAGAATCTCACCTGGTTACAACACCTCCCTCCCCCATCAAGTGACAACATCAAAACGAATGTGATATGCAAGTTTACTATGTAAACACACACTAATTTTATAATTTTAAACACTGATCAAATCCAACAATCTACACTTGATTTTGTTATCTTTACCAAATGACCAACTTGACAACGGAAAATGACCCCAGACTGACGAACGATGATCAAATTAGTAAACTTTATTTTGATATCATAACAGATGTACCATTACTTTTTTTATTTGGTTTAGTGATTTTCATTGGTATTTTAACTTTCAATATGTCCTTTTAACTTGACCTAAGTCTATTTTCTCACCCCTTAACTCTTTGCTATATATATGCTGAGATTTTGTAAATTTCGGTTTGAAAATGCTTTGATAAAGCTAATAGCTTTATATAGCGAAACGTCAGTAAAAACAATATCGTTTTGTTTTTCATTCATTGGGAAATACAAAAACCTTTATCATGATGAAAGGTTACTTACTTCACTTATATAGGAAGCGTCGTTTCAACTACAGGCTAGTGGAACGGATGAAGATGTCAAAGTCAGAATCGGAAAGGTAAGATACGCCTTCATCAACCTGAAACCAGTTTGGAAATCTTCTGTACTCAGGCAGCATAAGGAACAAGATTCGCATTTTCACCACCAAAGAGGAAATCGGTTCTACTATACTGGTTAGAAAGTTAGCCAGCATGTCACGAAAAGGATTTCCAACAGGCCACTTCAGACTTTCATCAACAGCTATTCTCTTCACTGGCTCCATTTTGAAGATCAAATGGCCAGAAAGAATAAGTAACAAGAAACTATGGGAACAAACCAACAGGTGAGAACCGATCACTCAACAAATATGTAGGAGAAAATGGAGATGGATAGGGCACACGTTGAGGAGACCGTCGAATGAGATCGCGCACCAGGCCATCGCTCGAGTGGAATCCCAATGGGAAACGACAAGTGGGTCGTTGGTGTGAGGCTGACATGGAGGAGATCATGTGACGGAGAGAAGATGAGAGATTGTGCACAATTGTGGTTCAAGCTGAACAGGACTGCAGAAATTAGGACAAAGTGGAGATGTGTTGTTGAAGCCATCCCCATGTTTCACTCGGAACTCAAGGATATAATAATGATACATTTCATCTTTGGCGCAAAATGACATTTATAAATGACTGAATGCAGTTTGATATTCTATCCTTAGGAGAACAGAAATAAAGAGTCTATATGGTCAGATTGTTTGAACATGTCTAAAGAAAAAGGAAGAGCCTTTTCGATTAAGGCAGTCGAATCGTTTGAACCCATACACCGTGAACGATAGACACAGGGGACATCGAGTAGACACACACACACGTTGAATGCATTCGAAATAATAAAACACATGAACACATGAATAGGTAAAATGGGCGGGAAAACTTACAGATGTACGACGATTCGACAGAAATCTAAGAATTCCTGTAAAATCCATATTTGAGTAAAATTCGAAATGGTCTATTTATACATAACTATGTCTCGCATTAGATAAAAAACAAACAAACATGACAACTGACAAGTCTGTATTTCTCCAACAGTACACATAAATCATTGTGTCTGACAGAAGAAGAAGGAGCAGTAGCTGTGATCATTGTAAGTTCCAAATACAGTGATATTTCCGCTTCATATGAAAAGCAATCTAGTGTAAAGATATATGTTGTTATCCCACAAAGGAATAATAATGAGGCGGGTTGTTCTTTTCCTTCTTACAAAAAATACAAACAGACATTGAGAATATGGAGCAGAAAAAGAAACCTGAGGAAAACCTCTACATATGCATATATGTTTGTATGTATGCATGTAAGTGCGTGTGTGTATATAAGAAACAGATAGTAGATACTATTGGTTAGCTAGCGCCAACTTGCTTCATGGGATTGACTTATGAGAAAAAAATGTAAGAATTCATTAAAATAACTCAATGAATTAACCAATCAGATAAAGGAACACTGAGTGAAGAGAATGATAGAAGAAAAAGATGCACAACATGACAGAACCTTTGACAATCCAGAAGAGACTATATATATATATATATATATATGTTATGTAAGATAATAGACATACAAGCAATGTCCAAGTATTGGTTGGCAGGGATTCGATTGGTTACAGAATTTCATCATGATGAGCTGACACATTGGTTAGAGAACAATTGAAAAACCTGGGAATATTGCAAGGCTGTTTCCACCTAGTTTGGGACTCCTCGACAGCATGCACCTACCAGGAGAGGTTAGAACCTGAGGCCTTCTGGCTAAAAGGCTAGTGGTCGCGCTATGTCCTGAATTGGCATAAGTTGGGATTCATGGGTCACTGGGTCGAGTCTCAGTGACTTAATCTTATGGTATGAGCTCACCTTGTAACCGGACGGACAGTCCTGGGTTCGAACCCCACTCGGTGGGTGCGTACTGATGAAGAGTCCCAGGCACTAGGCCGAAACAGCTGTTCAGTATAACCTGCAGGTTTTCCAATGGTTCTCTAACCGATGTTAGTTCATGATGAAATCCTGTAACCAATAACATGCTCATTGTAGATACTCAGTAGTTACATATAAAAGTTATTTCAGGTGATATAGAACTTATTACTATTATTATTAGTAGTAGTATCCACTTGGGTACTCAGTGGGACATAAGCTTTCAACAGCACATCTCCATTTTGCCCTGTTCTCTTCAGTCCTATCACACTGGCCCCACTATTGCCTACTGTCTCTCATTTCCCCTATGTCAGCCTCGGACCCACGACCAACTCATTATTTCCCATTCGGGTTACACTAGAGTGATGGCCTACATTGCGCGTGATGTTATTTGACGGTCTCCTAAGCATGTGTCAGATACATCTCAATTTTCTTCGGAATATTTCTCCAACGATAGGTTCTTAGCTAGTTTGTTCCCATTGCTTCTTGTTGGTTACCCTTCCTGTCTGGTAGTGTGATCTTCAATATGGAGCCAGCGAAGTGGGCAGCTGTTGATGAAATTCTGTAGCTGGCCTTTGGAAATGCCATTAGTGAAGCGCTAGACAAGTTTCTCACCCGTATAGAAGAACTGATTTAATTGTCCAACAAATACGCAGAAGCACCCAACGCCAGGGTTCAAAACTCAGGACTTTCTGGTTACAACGAGAGCTCGTATTTCATCCACTAGGTCACTGGGATTCGATCCAATGGCTAACCCATGAATTGCTAATTCTGCCAGTCAATTCACGATATACCGTGACTGGCGCTAACCAATATCATCGGTGGTGAGCATTTGTCCTTACACTCGACCTGCTGTACCCATTGGTCACGACTTCTCACTAGAACCCAAGTAACTTACTGCCTGAATAGGGCCAGTCGCTAGCGAGCATCAGATTAATATTCACTTGTTGGTTTGCAGGGATTTGATTGGTTACAGGGCTTCACTGGAAAATCTAGGAGTATGGGACAGCTGTGTCGTCCTAGTTTGACGCTCTTCACCACCTCCTGGCTTCGAACCCCACCCGGTGAGTGCATGCAGCCGATGAGTCCCAAAATAGGCTGACGAAACAGCTGTCCACCAGTACTCCCCGGTGGTGCAACCAAGTAGCTCATGAATTCTAACTTCTGCCAAACCACGATATATACAACGCCACTGCTAGAATTCAAGAACCATTGTATTCTATTAAGTTCACTCACCTCATAACTTGATTATCCTGACTCCCATCCCCGATATAGTCACGGCTGAGTATTGTTGAAGAGTCTCAAACAACAGTGAAATAACTCTTAAATTTCCAAACAGACATAAAAAATATTCCCATAAAAAAAACAACTGAATATTAAATTACTCAATAAACTCACTGAAAATGATGAATCGACAGCACTATTTGTTGCAAGAAATTGAACAGGCGATGGAAGTAATTTATACGTGTCTTCAAATTCCGCTCTTAACGATTCCATAGCAAAATGTGCATCTAATTCAGTGTCACATTTATTCAACACTTCATATTGTCTATTATTATGATTATTATTATTACTTTCAGGAAATTGTGATGAAAATACATTTCCGTGTATTTCATTCGATGCAACAACTAACAATCTATCCTCGTCATTATTGCTGTCTTCTTCAGTCTCTACAACATCCCATAATTTCTCCTTAATATTAGGACTACCTCTGGGAGTGATAGTTTCAGCAGTCTGCGTTCTTATCGATTCAGGACAATAACTGCTAGTTAAACCGGAATCAGTAGTTATTGAAGTTGACGCTTTCTCACTGCTAGAAATAACAACCGGAAGGATACCACCTTGTGCAGCTAATGTCTCATCCATATCTAAGACATAAGTACCCGTGTGCGATGGTGTAAGGCTGACCGATGAAGCACCGAAAACATCACTATCCTCTAAACTATTCCTCCTCCTTCTCCCGCCTCTGACATGAGAAGTATCATCCAGTTTTTCGCTAAGGCAAACTGTTGAACTAGCCTGTACAAGGTGTAGAGATTTGTCAACTGTTTGAGATTGATGCAAATCTGTTGAAGATGAAATCACTTCATGATCTGAATTGATTCTTTTTTTACGTGTTGTAGGCTGGAAAAGTTTTGATGACGGCAAATGGGTTTGTATTTGATCCACTGAAGATGACATGGAATTCTAGAGTGAATAACAAAAAAGAAAAAAAAATTAATCGTAAAAGAAAAATAGTTTGATACTGAAGATTTGTTGTTTAATCGGTTGGAGGATTTCATCATGAGCTGATATCAGTTAGAGAACTATTGGTAAACCAACGGGGAATACTAGTGGACAGCTCTGTTTCGTCAGCCAAATTTGGGACTCTACATCAGTACGTACCCACTTGGCAAGGTTCGAAGTTAGGACCTTCTGGTTACAAGGCGAGCTAGCTCGTAGACCACTAAACCACTTATTGAGCAACAAACAACAACACTAGGTAGAAAGAAATGGAGATGGATTGGATATAGGCTGAAGAGATAATTGGATAAAATCACACTTTGGGCAGGGCATCGAGTCTAACCCTCTAATGAGAAACGATGAGTTGAGCTTGGTTACGAAGGCATCAGTTGAAGGCAGCGAAGAAATGTATATCACAAATTGACAAAGATAGAATTCACTCCACACTATATTCTTGCCGATGTGGTTGGGAAGTTAATGGTTTCGGTTTTGTAGTTTGAAGGTCTCGGATTCGCTCCCTAACGGTAGGGTAGTAGTAGTCAGAGTGGACTGATGAAGAGTCCTAGACAAGGACGAAACAGGTTCCCACTACTCCTTGGTTTTAAATTATCTCTCATTCTCATTGAAATACATACATATATTCGATGTAAAACAGTATTTGTCTGGTTTAATTACTGATTGTATGCGCATTCCCAATTCTACTGCTGCTCACCATCAAATAAAATTAATATTATCATAATCTCTTTAGACATAGTCAAAGTGTCCGTATCAGAAGCTGATCCATATACTAAGTAGCATTAACTCCACATTGGAGTTGAAAATCCGCGTCTTATTTTCATTTTCATGCTGAGCAGTGCTGTTGATATCCCAAACTATTACCTAACAAATATGTAGTAGAAGATGGAGATGGATTTGGCGTACACTGAGGAGGCTGTCGAATGACATTGCGCTCTAGGTCATAGCTCGAGTGGAACTGGAATAAGAAACGATGAGTTTTGCGTTAATCCGAGAGTGACATGGAGATCATGTGACGAGGAGATCAGAGACTGTCGGCAGTCGTGGGGCCAGTTATTGAGGGCCGCAAATAATAGGAAAAAGTGGAGCTGACTGCTGTTGAAGGTCTATGTTTCACTCGGAACCCAAGGGGACAACAATAATAATACAATATAATATTAAGTTCTAACCTACTTTTATTTAACTCTTCAGTTTATGTATCGACTGAATTAAATCCAGAAACAAGGGCTTTCATGCAGTAGTACATTTGTCAAACTTGTGATTGTATGATGGCCGACAGTACTTCCCAACTGTTCAGTCTGAAATATATTGATCGCTAATATGAACAAGAGATTCACTGGTTGAAAACCGAGCACTTTAGTCAGTGACGTACATCTCCCCACCTTGAAATAATTTGATGGATGATGACTAGCATTAGGATGCAGGATGTTAATTTCATCGTAATTAGGACTTGTCAGATAGGTGAAACTTCATTATTCCTCAGTGAGTGAGTATTCCCACTAGGGCTAGAATCCAGTATCCATAGTTTCAAACGCCAAAGCGTTATCCACTAGGCCACTCGGGCCGGGCTAGTTGTTGTTGTTGCTGGTTGTTTAGTTATCTACATCCCCTCCGTCTTCTCTATGTTCACCTGTAATCTGTCCTGTCTTCACTGCCTGCCAGCCTCTTCAGCCAGTATGTTGGTTTTCGCTTGCAAGTCTCTGTGACATTAAGCATTAGTCGTCTGCGAAATGTAGATCTTCTAGATGGAGTCTTCCTATCGACCCAACATATCCCCACTCACAGTCTGACGCGTAATCCAGTCCACCATCATTCAAAAATATCATCGATGATAGTAGGCAGTAGACTTGTCTAACTCCTGTATTCACTTCGAAAGCTTCGCAGAGTTTTCCCTTGTGGAATTACTTCAAGGTAATTCTCAGATATCATCGAAGCGTCCGTACTAGGAGCCGCCACGTCAGCAGACGTTGAACATTTCATTTATAGTCAATCGACGTGAAAATCTAAATTGGATTTTTAGAAAATACTAACTGATGCCCAAGAAGTGGCCTTTGCGGCCTAAGTGGTCTATTGGGAAGCGTTTAGGCGTTTGAAACGATAGGTTCTGGCCTCTATGAGGACACCACCTTTCACTGAGGTGGTAGGTACATCCAGTTGACGAGTCCCTAAACTCCACTGCTAATCACCATCATGCAAAATGGATGATAGGCTATTAAATTCACTACATGTATTCAGTATTAATTAGCCTTAGTATGTATAGTATACAATTCAGTTGAATATTTTCTCACACTTTAAGTCTTCAGTCTCGTGCATTATTTAGTTATGAATGTTGATGTGTATGTCTACAAACTACTTAAAGCATCACTATTACAAATAAATACGGTTATAGTTGATACTATTAGGCAATGCAGTGTACATAATTTAGAACAACAGACATAAATAACGTGAGAAATGTGTGCTCTGTGTGTATACAATGTCATAAAATAAAAATTAGTCTTAGCCTTAAATTAATTCAACTAAAACACACATAAGGTTAATTCAATTTTCATGAAAAGCCTGAATTCTTTGTCAATTTGCATGGATTATATTTACCTGGTGATGACTAGCAGTGTTTCATATGCATTTCATCCCAATTTGGAGCTCTTCAGTTAAGAAGTGTTGCGCAATGTTTCTCTACTGACAGTCGAACCCCACAGATCTGGTTTCAAACGCCACAGCATTATGGACTAGACGACTTTGGTCACGAAAGGCACCTCTTGTGCAAGGGGAGTCAGTTTCCACGGTTTGAGGATAAGCTTGAGGCAATTAGGCAATAGATGACTAGCAGTGAAATCCAGAACGATCATTTCGCCCTCTTTTGGGACTCGTCACTTGAATGTTCCTGCATTCCCAGTGAGTGATGGCGTTCCCACAGAGACTCGAAGCACCTAGCACCTTTCGTTTCAAATGCCAAAGTGCTATCGACCAGACCACTTGGGGATACTGGGTTCCAGCCAGTACACCATCACTCACTGGGGATTGTAGGTACAAAGAGGATGAAATGAGAATCCTGGATTCCACTACTTAGTCATCACCAATCACAAAAGTAATTCAAGATGGAGACATAGCTGATTGACTGAAGTACTCAGTTTTTAACCAGTGGATCTCTGGTTCATATAGCGCCCCATCTACTCCAACCTGGGCAACAGGGTAGTAACAACAACCATCACACACAATGAGTGTATTTGGGCATAATGGAGATCACCATTCATTGAGTGTTATCATCTAGAAAAGTGGGTTCCCGCGGCTTTGAAATGTGATACGAATTTCATCCCACAGGCTTCCATACCGGTTTTTGTTCTCTAGCCATGGGACGGGATGGAAAACGCGCAGAGAGGGTCACCTGATGACATGGAGTCGTGAAATGAAGGATATTTGTAACAGGTTAGCATCGCTTGATGGTATATAAAGACTCCCTGGTTGTTGTCCAAGAGATAGCTCGAACCGGTGACTCGAAACCGCCCAAATGAGAAACGACGAGTTGGAAATGTATCCGAGGGTGAAATGGAGGAGAGGGGCATTTAAGGACAATCGCGAAGTCAGCTTAAGAGAACTGCAGAGAACAGAACGAAGTGGAGATGTGCTGTTGAAGATCTATGTTCTCCTCCCCCCCCTCTAGGAACCCAAGAGGATAATACTACAACCTATTCAAGTATTGGTTTGTAGGGATTCTGTTGATTAATTACAGGATTTCATCATGAGCTGACATTGGCTAGAGAACCATTGGTAAACCTGGGATTACTGGACAGCTGTTTCGTCCTATTTTAAGACTCTTCATCAGTACGCACCCGCCGGGGTTCAAACTCAGGACCTCCTGGTTACTTCTGAAGAGTCCCAACCTAGGACAAAACAGCTGTCCAATAATCCCAGGTTTTCCTATGGTTCTGTAACCAATGTCAGCTCATGATGAAATCCGGTAACCAATACAACCTAATTTAATGTATACAAGCTTCTCACCTCAAACCCCTTTGGAAGCCTTCTAGACTGTTGATTTGTTGAGTGACCTCCAGGCAAGCGTTTTAAGTGTTCATTATTTTCATTTCCATCTGAAGGACTACCACCACGAGGTGTTAATAAATCGGATTCTTTACGTGGATACAAGTCTTTGTCGTCTGAATGCTGTGATAAACACTGATCAACCCCAGCAGTTTCATCTCCCTCGATAACATAAGTACCTGTATGACTCGGTGTTAAACTAGTCACTGAAGTACTAACTAGCAATGATATATTCATCGATTTGATTGTCGGATCGATGACATCATCAGCATCATCATCATCATCAGCTTGGGCATCGTCAACAACTCCTCCACCATGAACTTTATTTTTATTATTTGATGATAATCCATGAGATTCCATTGGCCTTTGAATATCACTCGGGAGAATTGTGCTGCTATTCGAGTCTTTTTGACCTTTACGTGGTTTCGATGTTGTCGATAGCTGAGAGTTCCCTTGTTCTAGCTGATTATGCCATACATTTGATGAAGTAGTGAGTTTTGAATCTGTTCGACAATTCAGTGTATCATATTCATCTGCGACATTATTCTCTGGTGAACCGAAGCACTGTAAGAAATTTCATCAAAATTTAAAATTAGAGTAAATTAAACAAATTGATCAATAATAAAAATAACAATAATAATAATAAAATTTTTCTGTGGTTTGGTTTGTAAGGGTTAGTTATATTTTTACGAGTTGATCACGCATTGGGGTAGCGCTAAATCACGAATTGGTAGAAGTTAGAATTCATGGGCTAGCCATTGAATTGGGTCCCAGTGGCTGAATGGTATATAAGCTAGCTTGTCTTGTAACCGGAAGGTCCTGGGTTTGAACCCCAGTGGGTGCGTACTGCCAATGATTCCCAAACTAGGGTGAAACAGCTGTTCAGTACTCCCTGGCTGGTTTTCAATGCTTCTCTAACTGATATCAATCCGTGATCAACTCGTAAAATAATAATAATAATAATAATAATAATAATAATAATAAGGTTAAGTATAATGAAATTGTAATCATGAGAAAATAAAGCCTAGAAAGAATCTAAGTAGGTGGGGAGAAGAAGGTGATTTTTCCTTGCAGCGTTAGTTTCGTGTGACCATAAAGCCCAGAGCGTTGGGGGGGGGGGTAACTGCTTAAGGTCGATCACTCATAAACTATTTGAAGTGGTTTTTTGGACTTGTGCCCGTAGTTAAATCTAACTGCCATCTGCTAATGGTCTCAGCTTAAATTAGGATGTACAATTTCCCGAGTCAACCATCTCTAACCTCGACCGCTCTCCAGAGGGGATGGGTAGTAGAGGCATACTGGTCATCTTAGGAAAATACCTTACTAATGTTACATCCTTATGCATCAACAGTACGACTTCTCTCATGGATACCAAACATAGTAAGAAACGATTAACAATTGAATGGTAACTGTTTTCAGTTCAACCGCTTTCGAAACAACCTTCCTAGCATGGTAGGGCCTGGAAAAATATCAGCACTAACCAGTATAGCTCATTGGGTCGAGGTTATATGCAAGGCCGACAACCACAACTATGTAGACAGCTATCGGTTGGGATCAAAGTTAATGTTAAGTTTCAGAATACTCAGGGTTCATAAATGATTGCCTACTTCACACTGATTCGCGTGCGTTTCTAAAATCTTAGGCTCAGTAATCATGCACAGACTAAGCCGAACTCGGGAGGAACAAACGAGAGAAAATCAAACAGACTTTAGACCAGGTAGATGGTGCATAGATAATATCTTCACTCTCCAACAGATCCTAGAACATAGACACACTTTTAGGCGTCCAACAATTGCCATATTTCTCTGCTTGAAGGCGACCTTCGACTCCGTGGATCGAGAGGTTCTATGGCAATGTTTGACTATGAAGGGAGTGCCAAGAAAGTACATTGCACTAATCAAGGCACTCTACTCAAACTCACGTAGCCGTGTAAGGGCTTATGGAGATCACAGATGTCTACGATCTCTTCCTCACGTTAGGTGGTATAATAATGTAAGTAATGTTGACGTCAGGCGTAGAGTGTTGGGCAAAGAGGGAAAATCAATCGACGAGGCTATAAAGTTACATAGATTGAGATGGATAGGTCACGTGGTGCGCATGCCTAACCATCGCCTCCCCCGACGGGCATTACTAGCTAGCTGATATAGGTGCAGGTTGGAAAAGAGTAAGTGGTGACCAAACAAAAACATGGCATCAATCCATGAAATCCCTGACAGTTAAACTGAGTCAGGTAGGGAGATGCAGACTTCCGGGTTGGGGCCCTCGGGACTCTAAGAATCAATGGCTGGAGACAGACAATAGGTGACATGGCTCAAAATCGTTGTCAATGGCGCAGATGTATTCAGTCTCTGTAATCTTTCATATCCCTTTCTACCATTACTCATTCTGTTTCACTCTTATACTTGTCAAAACTCTATTGATTCTCTTCACTCATCTTCTTGTCTACCTTTGTGTGCTATTTGGAACGTGGCAACTCGAACTGCTGCACTTCGGTGCTAAGTTCTATGTTGAATCCAGACAGACAGACTTCACACTGAGACTACTGTTGAGACGATAAGCACAGTGGATGCATGCTAAATACTATATGCTGCACAAAAATGTATGTATATATGATTGGAGATATTCTATAGACCACGTTAAAACGGGTTAATTTTATCAATCACAGCGGTAAGGACTCCCACTGACCAAGCACATGATCCGGGGTTCGATCCTCTGCCGACGCACACTTGATAGCAATGGTCAGTCTGCAAAATTTGGGCTACCGATATCACATGCTGAAAATTCCAAAGTTGTACCAAAAATACTGTGTGGTTTCAAGCTATAACCGAAATTTTAAAAAATTAGGCTGGTTTTACTCATCAGTCGGGTAAGATGATGACATTTTTTCGTTCTCCGTATACACGATTACTATTGTTCATCCCTTCGATTTCAAGTGGAATATAGGGGCCTGAAGCAGCACATAACCATTTCGCTCTGTCTTTTGTAGTCTGTTTTTTAGCTGACTTTACAAATACCTGTATGCTTTCATCTCCTCTCTTCTCCATGTCACCCCTCCAAGACTTTGTACCCAGGAACACCTACCGGTGTGGTTACACAAAGATACAGTAAAAGCCATCTAGTCCGAACAGGTCACAAAGTCAAAACATTGATGAAGCTTTTCCTGTCATCCCTATCAGGTACCAAATAAATCATCAAAAGACTCTAGGCACCGACCACTGCAAACAGCACAGGTAGTCGGCAAAAGAAACTGGTTAAACCATTTTAACTACCCTGGCCTGCTGCGGAATCTATAAATTCATACATTTTGCATTATTATTTTTCTTAATTTATTTGATGTATTCAGTTTAGTGTTATACTGATGCTTTTGAACTATAATCTATTGATCTTAAAGCATTATTGATGTAGTGAATGTAAGAATAATTTCAGGATTTCATCAGGAACTGACGTCGATTAGAGAATCATTGGAAAATTACCAGAGAGTACTGAACAGCTGTTTCATCCTAGTGCTTGGGACTCTTCATAGTACGCATCCACCACAAGGGTTCGAACCCAGGATCTTTTGGTTACGAGGCAAGCACTGGGACCCGACTCAATGGCTAACACATGAACTGCAAACTCTACCAGCCAATTCATGATTTGGCGCAACCATAAGCCAATAAATATCATCGGTGGTGAGTATTTATTCTCACACCCAACACCTGTTGTACCCCCAAAGGTCACGAATTCTCACCACTGAAACCCAGGTAACTAACTACCTGTATAGAGGCAGTCACACTAGTGAGCATCAAATTGATATTCAAATGTTGGATTGCAAGGATTAAATTGATTGGTTTCAGGATTTCATCATGAACTGACACCGATTAGAAGACCATTGGAAAACCAGCACTTGAGTATTGGACAGCTGTTTCGTCCTAGTTTTGGACTCTTCACAGTGTGATGAGAGCTGGCTGCTAGCCAAAAATTGGTAGACACTAATTTACGTCAATGTTCACCTCCCCAATATTGGTCGTGAGAAAAATAAGAACAAAGACTGACTCAACAATCAATCACAGCAGACTTTGCTTAGGCGGATACAATTTGTGGATAGATAATCTGAACTTCAATAAACAACCACAGAGAGATGAAAGGTTAACGGTCAGCGAGAAACCACCAATCAGAAGACTGTGTTTGTTTGCTTAAAATAATCTATAATAATGTACATGAGAATCTACAAATATCTGTTGATTTCCTAAATAAACGATTTGTTGCCCGGGCACTTGTCTTCTGTTATTACAACAGTACGCACCCACCGAGCGGTGTTCAAACGCAGGACTTTCTGGTTACAATGCTAGCGAGCTCGTAGACCATTAAGCTACTGGGACATGCATGATCCAAGGACGAAACGGCTGTCCAGTACTCCCTGGTTAGTCTTACGATGGTCCTCTAACCGATGTCAGTTCATGGTCAACCAACCAATCAATCAAATCCCTGCAAACCAACACTTGAATAAGAATAATTCTATAATACTTATGGAATAAAAGTGTTCTTTGTTTACTCCTCAGTCTACAAAATAAATTTTAAAAAACACATTCAGTAATTCACCTTATTTCGTCCATTGAAAGAATCATCCTTTGATAAATGTTTCATCTTCATCTGAGAAGTAGTCAGCAACCGTTCATCATCAGCATCAACACCAGCATCAGGATCAACATCATCATTATAAGCACTGGAATCAATATTCACCAGAGGTTTTGAATTCACTTCAGGAGATAAATCTTGAAAATTTGATGAATAAGATGAAAATGCCTGAAAGATACCATTTGTAGTACGTTCAGTTTCTTCACTACCTTGAAACATTCTATAGAATAAATAAGCCTTAGGATCATCATATGCTTCGATAGCAGCAACAACTGATGCTGTCAGATCCGAAATTCGTGATGATGACTTGTTAGAAGTTGAATACTGATCAATATTATCTGTAGACAATTTACGTCTAACAGTGCCAGCACCACCACCACCACGATTTTGACTTGTTCCACGACGAAGAAATGTACTTGTAATTGGCTTTTTATTACTATTACTTAGCGGTGATTCATAAATTCTGCGGGTATCATATTGAGGAGATGAAGAGATAGGACTTTCATTTGGTACAGATCGAATACATTCTCTGGCACGAACTTGTTTTGCATCTGAACTTGTTGTCGGTGTCATAAAACCACGAGTTGTACCACGTCGTTGTGTAGAAGCTGAAGAAAAGCGACAACAACAACAACAAAATGCAGAAAATTAAAGAATCTCCAAAAAATAGGAAATTGTGGCTATATATTATGCGTATATTATACTATTATATTCCAATGAGTTCTAAGTGGAACATAGGGCTTCAAATTAACATATCTCTATTTCAGACTGTTCTTCGCATACCTTCTCTTTAACTGGCTCCATCATTGCCGATAAGTTGTCATTGTCGCCGCATATGACCTCCGCCAGGTAACAATTGGACTCAGATCCAACCTGTCGTTTCCCACTCTAGGGCTTAACGCGGCGTGAAATATATCGCTCAAAGGTCTCCTCAAGAAGTGTCTAATCCATCTCCACTTCCTTCGACATATTTGTTAGGCGATAGATTCTTGGTTGGTTGGCTGAACTGCCAGAATCCCTTGTTGCTAATTCTTTCCGGGTGGGCCCTTTCAGTAATGTCCAACTCTAAGTCTTTGAACTCTAAAGAAGCACTGATTAACTTTTGACATAATACTGTTGAAAATCTCAATCTTGTTTCTTTATGCTGAGTGTAGCATATTTCCATACTGATTTCAGAGTAATGAAAAGTATCCGTCTTACTTTTCCAATCCTGACTGGCTTTGATATCCTCATCCATGCCAGCTACCTATCTACCTGGTAGTTGAAACGATGCTGTCTGGGTGAGGTAAGTGGAGGAGATAAATTCCTTTAGATTTTTCCTACTGATAGATAGTGAATGGTACTTGTTGTTCACTTGAATTCCTGTCATGGCTGCGTCCTTTGCCAACAGGTTGATTTCCGCCTGTAGATCTTTGCGATTGTATGACATTACACATAAATTATCCGCCAGGTATTGATCTCCTGGGGTCTTATAATCGGTTCAACCTATTCCTCTTTTCTTGTATCCTATGGTTTGGTGCATGATCTAGTCCACCACAAACAGGAGTACCATTAGTGATAATGGGCAGCATTGTCTTAGTATTTTCTTCACTTTAAAGGATTCACATGGAGTTTTCCGTTGTGGATCACTTGATATGTGGTAACCGTATATAGTATAGGTTATTTATTTTATTCCCTTGGGTTCCGAGTGGAACATACGGATGGCTTCAACAACACATCTCCACTTCCTTCTATTTTCTGCTATTCTTCAGCTGGATAGCTCCACGATTCCCCACGTATGTCCGATCAATCCATCTCCATTTTCTCCTACATATATACCTTTGTTGAGCAATCGGCGTTCGCCTGTTGGTTTGTTGCCAGCCAGTCAGCCAGTCCGAGTTTCTTGTGGCTAGTTCTTTCCGGCTGGCCATTTGATCTTCAGTTTGGAGCTAGCCAGCGAAGTGGGCAGCTGTTGATAAATGTCTGCAATAGCCTGTTGGAAATCCTTCTTGTGACACGCACTGCAAGTTTCTGACCTGTATAGAAGGAGTGACTGGCTGACTGAGTTAGTGTAGAAGATTTGCAAACTGGTTTCAGGTTGGTTGATGAATGCGTCTCTTGCGTTGCCTTTCCGATTCTGGCTAGCTGGCTGGGTTTGACATCTTCATCCGTGCCATGTGTCTCTGATTGAAGCCGTGCTTCCTGGCCAAATAAGTGTAGGAAGTAACCTTTATCGAATCTCTCCCTTTGGTGGTGATTGGTGTTGTTTGTTGTTGCTGTAGTTGTTCGTTGGTGGGTTTGCCGTCTTCATCACCACAGTCTTCTCTATGTTCAACTGGAGTGCTGCCTTTGCTGCCCGCTAGGTTCTTCAGCCAGTTTGTTGTTTTTCGCTTGTAAGTCTTGGTATTTGTGTGACACTAAACATAAATCATCCACGCTCGAAGTACCGATCTTCTAGAGTCAGTCTTCCTATCGGTCCAACGTATTCTTCTCTTCTCACTCCTGTCGCACAGTCTGAAGCATAAAAGTATCCATTAGGCTGTTGGAAATACTTTTAGAGTGTGCCAAGTCTGTAAACCATATAGGAGCACTGGGTGACTTGACAGTGGTGTTGAAAATCCGAATATTATTATTATATTATTATTATTTATGCTTCGCAAATAAACCATCCAGCTTAGAGAACACAACTACATCAAAATGTTCTTTATGCTAATAGCGTAGCAGATTTCCTCACTTAACGAATATTAAGCACAACAATAATGTTATCTGCAGGACAAAGTCACCTAGCTCAAAGAAGAAAATACATTTCTCATATATATATACATATATTCCTGTTCTGCTGCACAATCACGTTAACAACTGTAAAAAGCTAATTTTAAAATAACGTCATCAATTTAACCACTTTTCTCCACACACACACATACACAAATACGCATATACCTACTGTAAACACTCGACATTTGTACTATTAAATGTTTCGGACTAGTGGGCCACATGGTTCTATGAGATCTCATTGAACAAAACAGCACATCAATTATAACTCATCTAAACACACATACACGCACATACACACCACATGTGGTCGAATGCATATGACCTAATACATATTACATCATGTGTAGTTAATTAGATGCATACATGCTTTTTTCAAAGGCAAAGGACTTATTTAAATCACACACAAAAGAAGCTTAAAATATATACTTGATAAAATATCTCGGAGACAGAAAAAAAATGAAGAAAGAAAAATGTTAAAAAAGGTGAATAAACTAAAAGGTTAGGAAATCATTCTTTCTTGATCAAAATCAATGATTATGCTAACAGTTCAGGGGTGATGCACCTGTGATCTAGCATCGGTGGTTCAATGGTGTGGTGGTAGATTACTCGCCCAACAACCAGTCGGAAGGTTCAGAATCGATTCCCGGATGACATACTTCTAAACCTCACACGCCTAGTTTTATTAATTCGTAGGTAGTAAGACTGGAAAAGGGAGAGTTGGGCGTTGGGGCGAGCAACCTCACCACCACTGAAACCCTCCGAATTCTCCTGGAAACGCAAAGAAACCAAGTAGAAGGTAACAGTTGATGTAAAGGATCTGTGAGAGAATATTACAACTTACTGAAAAATAACTCGGTGCAATATGCTGGTGTAGATCAGGAGAAATAAAAAGTGAAAACATAAAATAATGTATAACTGCAACCGGGTAAGAGGAAAATTCTGACAACTATAATAATTCAACCTCGACGATAGGTTGATATTAATTAGCGTTATTGTTAGCAGAGAAGTAACGTCTTCTGATTGGTTGTTTTCTTGCTGAACGTTATTATATTATCTCTTTATGGCCGTTTCTCAGGAAATCGAGTCATATATCTGTGATTCATATTTCCACACTTTAACTCCTCTGTGATTGGCTGCTGATTTTCTCAAGGTTAAGCTTTGTTATTGTTTCTTTTTCTAATGACCCCGATTCGGGATGTGAACATTGAGGTAAATTGCTGTCTACAGTTTTAGCTTGCAGACAGCTTTCACCACAAGAGAACCACTGGAAAACCAACCAGGGAGTATTGGACAGCTGTTTCATAAGCGTAGTACTTGGGACTCATCGGCAGTACGCACCCACTGCCAGGGTTCGAAACCAGGACTTTCTAGTTTACAAGGCAAGCACATAGGTCATTCAACCAATGGGACGCGAATCAATGGCCAACCCATAAATTCCAGCTTCTACCAATTCGTGATTTTAGCGCCAATGTCATCGCAGGCGAGTGTATTTCCTCACACCCGACCCGGCTCACCCTACTACTGGTCACGACTTCAGACTAGAACGTTTTAGGCAACTTCGTCCTGTACCTAGTCACTCACTAGTGAGCACCAGATTAGCTTTCAAGAGTTAGTTTGGGTAGGAGTTTGCCTTTAAGGAACATCTGCACGTATCATCTTGAGTATAACTATTTTATCACACGATGAAGGAACGACTGTGACATTATGCAGATTGATAGGAAACAGCCAAAATTGGAATCAGAATTTTAAGTCAATGGCTGGCTGCAGTGGTAGAAGTATTTATTCCTCAAATCTCCATTCAGTTTACGTTGTGGACATAAAATAATCTCATTGGACAACTTTATTTAACCTTGGGCCAATTGTTAGCCAATCAAAACAATTTGCTGTCCGCTGTGATCTAGCCCACTTTTAATGTGGCCAAGAATGTATAAATATGATGTGTTGTTTTCCATAATAGAGGTCCGTTACCAAGTCTCTTTTCAGGATGAAAAAGATTGAATCTTACCTGCCTTTCATATACACTATAAACCGAAAGAGAATACAATCATATTGTAAAGGATTTTAAGGAATCTGATCTACCCTCGATTTTCTCTTTCATTCAGACTAGAAGGCTAGAAGAGTACGAAGGCTAAGCATAAACAATTTCTCTGTACATTACTGGTTGTTCTACCAAGTAATTAAGTAATAGAATCAACCTCCCTCCAGCTAGAACACGTGATATCCGCGTCTTTAATTGACTTATTCACAAGGGGAATACACAAATAAAGATACCTAAAAGGAAAGGCTCCAACTATTCCATTCTCATAACTGAGTCATATCACCAGCAGTCTGAAGCCCGATCAGGCTGTCTACACCTTCCTATTGATAGTCAAAGACTTGTGGCATTGATGGCAGGCTTTGATTTGACCACGCCCAACTGTTTTTCACTCCAATGGTATGTCAGTTAAATTTGCTCATGTGTCCTAGCGTCACAACCTCATTGGTTGATTTGTCACCGATTATTGTCTTTATGTTCAAAAGATAATCACACTTAATTTTCCAATATGTCAAATAAAGCTGATAACAGCAGCTAAAATAGAACAGATTTGTTCGGGAATGGAAAAAACCACTTCGTTTACGTTCAAATAGGCGTATACAATGCCGCCAGTCATCACAGATTAAGTTGCACACATATAATGTAGGGATAAAGTGATTTGATATGGTGGTCGGTTACAGGATTTCATCATGAGTTGACATCGGCTAGAGAACATTGGGAAAACCACCAGTGAGTACTGGACTGCTGTTCCATCCCAGTATTTGTCACTCTTCATAAGTACACACCTACCGAAGGGGTTCGAACCCAGGACCTTCTGGT